TAGGGAAAGTATCCCCAAAACACATGTAATGTAAAAAAAAACCCAACCAAACACCAAAAAACAAACAAGAAATAATTAATAAGAGCAACCTGTGGCTCTTAGAGCAGGCCTAGAGCATGAGAAAGGAAAGCCCTTCTTAGGCTGTAACTTTGTGCTTGGCCTAACAGACCCAAACCAAACCAAAACCCAAGAAGAAAAGGTCAGCAGGCCTTCACTGAGCAAAACGCCTTCACAGGCGCATGCACATGTATATCCCTCTATACGGGTGCACGTGTGGGTACACATAGGTCCGTGTGTGGCTGTGTGGGCTCAGGTGGAGGTCTCCATGCCCACCCCCATCCCAGGGCACCTAGGGAAGACAAGAAATACAGCTCCGAGCTGGGGTCTGAAGAGGGGTCACCTCGTCCCCCTCCTGAATCATGACCCAACCTGGCAAGCGCAGAGGGAAGGGTCCCGCTTCCCCAGCAAGGCTTTGCTTTAGGAGGCATTTCCCGAAATAAATAGAGCAGCTAGGCTGTTTTCTTCCTTGTTTTGCTTCTTTTTTTAAAGGCTTCTTCCCCCCTCAGCTCCTGCCTCTCTCAGTATAAACCAAGGTGGGCGAGGGATGGTGCTGGGCACTTGCCCGAGGAAGGGTGACTTGCAGGGCTTCGGAGTTCTGCTGGCCTGCTTCCTCCTGGAAGATTGATCTACCCACACCATATAAATTAATGAAAAGATTAAACTTTTGCTGAAGGGGACATCAACTCTCTTGTCATCTTCCCAGATCTTCTTACTTGGGCTCTGTAATATCTTTCCAAGGCCTTGATGTACTGTTTCTATAAAAATAAATTACTTGTAATTGAATTCTGCACTCTTTCTTTCAAGTACTTTATTACTGAGCAGCACCTTAACAGGATGTCCACAGTTGCAGGAAAATTGGTACTTCAAGTGCTTATAGATCTTAAAACAGCACACACACACACACACACACACACACACACACACAAAAGATACTGATTCAGGCGGAGATTATGAGAGATATAAAAAAATAATACATTTACTAATCTTACAAAAGAGGTTTGAATGGAAATAAAGCTAGAAATAAAAGAAATACCAGAAGGAAAAAGAGGAGAAATGGGTCATTAAATAGGAAATAAGCAGAGAGCTTGATTTCCATCAAGATATGGAAACGGAAAAAAAAAGGAGAAAGGGGAAAAAAGGAAAGAGTTTTTTAATACTTTCAGAACTGTTCTCTAATTCCTATCTGAACCGGTTGTCCCTTGCTGTTAAAGGATATAGTTTCAATTTAGTGTGGAAATTTGCTGTAAATAAATTGAAGCTCCTATGATAGCTAGTCCTTATTAACCTTTTATTTTTAGTGTTGTACTGGAAACTCATATCACCCAGCTGTCAGGGTTATAATTGAAAGTTATGAGACCATAGTGAGGAGCAGGCAGTAATTCAATTACAACAAATATCTTTGGGTTTATGGTGCAGGGCTAAATTAAATGTCATTATTCACTGTCTCTAATGGAAATCAAAAGGAAATCAGATTAGAGCATTTGTGAAAGAAATCACTGAGTGATCCTTAATGAAGAAATAACTGTCTAAAACAGTGTACTGTGCTTTACTTAGCATATTCATGACTAATTGGAATTGATCGTGAATCACACCAAGTCTGATTTATTATCGCTTAACGTAGTGGCTAATTCATCACTTTTATTCCACATAACCTTATTTTTTTCATAGCTAAAGGGAAAGGGCACTTCGTTTTCCAGATTTAAATATAATTTCTGTTTGAAAGATGTTCTGATTTGCGAGAGAAGTTGTTTAAACGCTGCTTAAATTCCTCCTGACAATTTATACTCCTTTGGGGGGGGCTGGAGGGAGGGCGTGGGGAACATATAGTAGGAGATTTCCTGCAAGGATTTACAACCGTAAAAAAAGAGAAGCATTACTGTCGCTACAGCACGATGATACTTTGCATGTTCCTATTAAAAAAAGATATATATATCTTACATATATATATAAGTCCCTGGCGGCTCAGTTAAGAGGAGAAGCACTGCACGTTGTTAATATTTGCGTATTACTGGTGGGGAAAATCAGGCTTGTGTCGCGCTGTGCGTTTCGAGTGCCCGGTTAGCGCCGGGAGGGCTGCTGTCGCTACAGCACGATGATACTTTGCATGTTCCTATTAAAAAAAGATATATATATCTTACATATATATATAAGTCCCTGGCGGCTCAGTTAAGAGGAGAAGCACTGCACGTTGTTAATATTTGCGTATTACTGGTGGGGAAAATCAGGCTTGTGTCGCGCTGTGCGTTTCGAGTGCCCGGTTAGCGCCGGGGGGGCTGTGCTAGCCAAAAACTGGCGGGGATCGGGAGCTGTTCATCGGTCCGTCCATCGCTCCGTCCGTCCGTCGGTACATCCTCACCCGCGGCGCTCCGCCTGCCCGCTGCGCGCTCCCTCCCGGCTACCTTAGGCAGGAAAAAACGGTGCTTCATATCAGAGGCGGCCAATTCCTACTTAAGAAAATCACTGAGGTACCCGAGGTAATTAATGCCTTTGGAAGCCTTTCTTTGCACTAATTACTCCGTTGTAAATGACCATCATTAAGGCAATTGAAGAAAGCTTGAAGGGAAAATTTGATGTAGGAAGTGCAGTTAGTATTAATTAACCGTATGATCTCTTGGCAAGTGCAAGAACATCAAAGGTGGTAGGTGTTTACTTAGCTACAACATTTTTATCAGCGGTGAAAGTCAATGTTTGTCCATATTCGGTCGGTTTTGGGATAAGGGTCAGCAAAACATTTTGGTCTGTGCTTCTGACGCCCCTTTGGGGAGAGCTGCTGAACTTTGAACCAAGCGTCTCGGAAGGGGGAAGGTAATGAAGGTGGGAAATGCTCCTGGAAAAGTCAGGGGAGGTGCGGTGGCTACTACAAGTTTTGCGCTTGTTTGGGTCAGAACAGCGGAAATTTGGGCAGGATTATTGGATTACGAGTATTTCTCTGGTAGGGCAATAGCACGTCTTTACATCCCAGCCTGCAAAGATACGGCTCTTGTCTGTCTACAGAAGCAGGTTGTGTTTTCCTGTAATGTTTGGGAAGAGGGGAATGATTCAGCCCCTTTGTGCAAGTTCAGTATCTCACATCTTCTCTGAGGACTCCGTGGTTTCCAAGCCCAGTTCGGGAGAGGGAAAAAGGCCCTGTCCCT